AAATTCATTTATTTGGAAAATTATTAAATGGATAAATGCACTGGTTTAAAGATCCAGTTTGCGTTGCGGTAGTGCAGTAAGATGGAAAGTGAATAATTTAGCAAATATTCAATCAAAGATATCAATTGGTCAAGGAGTCAGGTGTGTTTGGATTTCAATTGAAAAATTTGATTATGAAAAAAATTGATTATTAGAACGTTATTATGTTTGGATAAATTTTCAAAAATTAATTATGAAAAAATTGATAATGTTTGAATAATTTTTTTTAAATTAATTTTAAGTAAATAATTCTACTATTTAAAGTGACAAGCTACTAATGTTCATAATTAATTTTTTAAAATGGAACAAGTTCTAGCTCATCTCTAATGGAGTTTAAAAATATTGAGGTGTTTGGATAAAATTTTTTAAAACCATAATTTTAAATTTAGAATTGATTTTAGAAAGATATCCAAATAGGCCGGCCAAGTACTAGAAAGGAAGGAGCTAAACTTTTCAAGAGCAATGGACTTTTCCATGTCTGGTTCACTAAAAATTCTTTCTAAAAAGTGAAGCCTTACACTTTCTTCACAATTATGAAAGAAAATTATTGCTTTCTGTCCCATTTTTTATTTTAAAAATTTTTTTTATAATATAATTTTTAGACTTGTTTTTTAAAATAAAATGAAATGAAAATATGTTTGGTCATGTTAATTCAAAAATAATTATAGAATTAAAAAATAAGATGATAATGATAGTTACAGGCAATTAATTGGGGTGGTTTGTGGTACAAACCAGTCAAGCTAACTAAATATTTCAATAATCAAATACAATGTGATTTGAAAAAAAAAACGAAATGAAAATAAATTTAAAATGTTTTTATTTTTTATTTTTTATTTTTAAAAATAAAAAATGATAATATTTTTGAAAACAAATTATTTTAGTTATTCAAACAAAATCTTTATTTTTTTATTTTTAAAAACATAAAACAGTCTTTAAAAACCAAACATGCTCTTAATGGACAAAATCCAAGCATGTTCCACTTTCCTAATATATAGTTATTATATATTTTCAAATTTGTCCTTAGAATATAAAATAAAATTTAATTAAAAGGATGTTTTTTTATCATGAAAAAGTAATATATTTATTTAAAAAGTAGTTAGACTTCTCAGGAATTATAAAATTCAAACAGATAATCAACTATAAACTTTCTGAACATTTGTCAAGTTGAAATAATTAATTAAATATAATGAAAAATGAATTGGTGACAATGAAAATTCTGAAAAATATCACCTCGATCACAAAAGTCAGATTAGATGGGGATATTATATATGGAACCCACAAAATGACTTGTGAACGCCAATTGAGAAAGACATTGCCTATGAGCAGTTAGACGTGCTACATGTAGAATTTAGAAATTAAATTTGACATTGTCATTGTGCTTACCCTCCACCAAGGCTGTTAAACTCACGATAAACTTACAATAAAAATATAAATTTAAAATTTAAATTAATAAAATTTTATTTTTATTAATAAATAGTCTTTAAAAATATATGATTAAATAATTAAAATATAAAATATGATCATAATTTAATTTAAATATATTTCAAATATAAATAATTGAAATTAAGTTTATCCATATATCAACATAAAAATTTTTAAAATAAGGCAACTTATTTTTTATATTTTTTATTTTTTATTAATATTATTTTTTAGCTTTATTTTTTCATTGAACCGAATCCTACCTTTTCTTTAAATTAAGTTCAACACAATATATACATATCTTGCTCAACGAGCTTCTGAGTAGATATGCACAGTTTTATAAGTTAAAAATATGAAAACAATAAATTCAGAGAATCAATTCGCGAGTTTAACCAAGTTTTATCTAGTTCGAGTTTATGAATAAATTAATACAATGTTATAAGCTAGAAATATAAAAATAATAAACTTATAGAGTCAACTTAAGAGTTTGATAACAATATCCTCCACAACTTAAAACCAAGGCTACTATTGAGGGTAATTAAAAGTGTAATTTGGTTTTGGTTTAATCAAAACACATGAACTAAACCAATGATCGGCTTGTACAAAAAAAAAAACAATTGATTGATTTTTTATTAGATTAGTTTGGTTTGATTTTGAGGTAGTTTGATTGGGTTTAATTTATACATGAATTAAGTTTTAATATTTTTTTAACAAATAAAATCATATATTAAGACTAAAGCATGATATTTTTATTTTTTTTCCTTCATTTTTCAATTTCAAATCATATTCTTGACTTTATTATATATGAATGGAAATGAACGTCATATCTAGAATAAAATATTCAAATTTTATTATCAATAAACATCATTAGTAACACAAGTTAAATTGCATAAGTAATACGAGTTGTGTTCAAATTTAATACTCGATTGTACCTCAAATAAGATTACTTTCAATAGAAGGATATCTATGAAAAATAAAAAAGAGCTTGTTTTGAATCAAAAAAGGGGAAAATTCTATATCTAAAATTATTTAAAAGATCATTCTTGAAGAAACACGAGTATATTTATTTGACTCTCTAATAGCAAAATTGAAAAAGGAAGGGCGAGAGATACTTTTAAAGAATTTTGGGTTTTCGTTCAACTTTAGCTAAAGTTAAAATTAAAAAAGATAAACAATAATAATCTAATATTAATGATATCTAGAAAATACATTTAAAATTATAAAAAAATTGGTTCAGGTTTCGTTAGGATTTCAAAGGAAAAAAAAAAATCAAAATTTAAACCAAATTCCATTTAGTTTTTAAATTTATGAAAACAAACCAGGTTCTAATAATAATAAATTTTATTTTATTTTTATTGGATTAGTTTGATATTGTCAGTTTTGTTCAATTTTGCTGCCCCTTAACTGCTACAATGGGATTAATTAAATATGGAGCAGAAAAAAGTAAGTTTAGTTTGCTTTCCAATGGGACGTGCTTCTCTCTTCTTTTGGACTCCGCGGAGAAGGCTTCGAGCATTGTGGTAAAACGTCCGGTCCAGAGTCTCTTCAACGAGCAACCCACAAAGAAGGAAGCACTGTAACATAAGATAGAAGCATGCATACGGTTGGTTTTGGTGCTCATCAACTTGATAAGATATGAACGGTTAAGATTTTAATTTGGATAGCTTAAATTTAAAGATTGTTTTATATTTTTTAAAATAAAAATTTTAATAAATGTACTCCATCACCAATTTAAATAATTGAGATTTAATTTTGGAGGTCCAATCTAATATTAAAACATTTTATAATTCTTTTTAGAAATTGATTATCCAAATGTATATTGGATAATTTAGATTTGATATTAAAATTTTCAAAATTTTTAATTTAATATATATAACATTAAAAATGAAAATAATATCCAAACTAACATCTTTTTTACAAAAATATTTTTCTTGAAAAAAAAAAAAAAAAGAGTTGCAAGACCACCTTAGCCAAACAGCTCTGTCATGATCCGCGAGTCCAAGGTAACCCTCTCTTCTATCAATAAACACCGTAGAATTATAATTACTGATGAAAGAGTTTTTGTTCCAAAGCATGCATTTTCATCCTATTTATCTTGATAACTATATACCCAGTCAGTATCATTCAAATGGAATAATGAATTGAAGTATGATGCCGAGGACTCATCTGGATGAACAGATTGGTTCAGGGATAATATCTTCGTCGCAGGTTCATGGATTGAAAGCAATGAGGTTGTGGCAGAGCAATTGTTTCAAGAGTTACGTGAAAAAAGGGATACTGAGGCTGTGTTTCTGGTGCTGGATAATTTTCAGCCTGGCTTCGTAGGAATTGTGGAGCAGTGTATGAATTGGATATCATCAAATCCTAAATCTAGAATTTTGGTGATTTCAAGAGTTGATATCCCAGATTTGGGCACCCGAGAGACCAAGACACCACTGGATGAAGATGATGCAATTGAGCTTTTACGTGTGTGTTTGGATTAAAAAATTTACAATTAAAATTAGTAAATTAAGGTTAGAAAAAGAGTCAGTTGATATAACATAATTTATGTTTAAATACCATTTTTTTTAAAAGTTAGATAAATTGAAATTCATTTGAATGGTTTAATTCAAAAGTCATTTGAGATGTTTAATGGTAAAAATAAACATATATTTTTTATCTTAAATAAACATGTTTATATTTTTTTGACTAACTAATAAGTAAAAAATATTAAACTTAAAATCACAACTAATAAATAAAATATCTTAAATATTCAATCATAAAAATTTTAAATAAATTAATATTCAATTGATATGATTTATATATTATGCGTGTCATAATTGTTAGGAGTTTTTTGACACTACTATCCAAGAGAGCGTGGAGCATTGTACGTGTCTTCTTCTTCATGCTCCATAAAGGCTTCACAAACGAGAAACTCATGATGGACCTCAACCTCATGCTCAAATGTCCCAGAAAACTCGCTAGAACAGCCATCGCCAATCTCCTCGCCCACCACCATGGCGGCTCCGCCACCTCCCATGACGTTTCTTGCACTTCTCCACTGCACGAGCGTGTGAGTTCAAAATTTAAAATGTGAGTTTTGAAGATGAGCTGATGGACGGCGTCGCCTGACTAGCGAAAGCAAGAAGCAGATCTATGAGGTGTATAGCAAGCGTTTTGAAGGAAAAAGCAGATCTATGAGTTTTGAAGCAGCTTCGGAGGTCACGGATAAAAAGCAGCTTGCACAAAGGAAAGATGTAGCTATGGTAGATAAAAAGAAAGAGAGAGAAAGTATCAAAATTTAAAATGTATTTAATATTTCCAACAGGCATTAACGCTAACGCTCAGGAGACAAAAGCCAGATGAGTGAGCTTTAACATTAATGCATGTTTATATGCTAACTAAGGTTGAAAAATTATGTTAATCCAAACAAGATTTTTTTAACATTTGTTATCCTAACCTTAGTTTGACCCATTCTAACTAAGGTTAGCATCTAATCCAAACATGCTCGCACCTCACTTTGCAAAACCAGTTGGCACCACCTTCTTTAATTTACCCGAAGATCCGTATTCTCCGACAGGTTCTTTCTCTCTAACCTTGGCTCATGATCAATCATCTCATTTCACAATTTTAGCAAAAAGGATCAACTTGCTTCGATCATCAGGTTGTGAGAAGTTGTGGAGGTTTCCCATTAGCGATCAAAGTAATTGGCGGTGAACTCAGGGGCAGGCACCCTGATATCTGGAGAAAGAAGTCAAAAGAATCCTCACAGAGCGCAGACTATTCTCCTTCAGGGGCGCTTACTTATCTCCATAACTCATTACATTAAGTGTTTTGAAGGATTTTGAAGCCGTTAGAGAATTCTTCATGGACCTTGGCTCATTCCCTAAAAATCAAGTTATCCCTGTTACTGCCTTAAGCGACATGTGGGCAGAGCTTTACCAGGATGATGATGATGGAATAGATGTGATGAGCCACATCCGCCAATTGGCATACATGAATTTGGTTGATAAGGTGGTTCAAAGGTAAATATACTTCTGCCAGCTCAGCAAATGAACTTTGTCTCTTATGTATGTATCCCGTTTCTTGAGTTCGTACATGATATTGTCACTTAACCAGGCGAATTGGAAGTGATGAAGACAATAGCCACAATAACCACATCCTAACCCAGCATAAACTTCTCAGAGTTGGCCAACAAATATTCAAGGGAGGGCGCAGTATTAGAGAGGAAAAGGCTAATTCTTGGGAGTGACTCAGAGCTAGTTCTGTTCCTTTTCTATCACTCCTCGCAGGATCAACACGGCAAAGGACAGCTGCTCGTGTATTATCTATATCGACTGGTCTGTTTAATTTTCTCTCTTTTGACTGCCCACTTATAATTTCTCATTATTCAGTTAATTTCATGTATTATTATCTGCATTGCAGATCAAAACGCCACTCCAAATTGGTGCGACAATATTCAACCAACTGAAGCTGTGGTTCTAGTTTTGAATATTTTCAAGACTTCAGATTACACGTTACCGAAATTCACAAAGGCAATGGGAAACCTGAAAGTTCTTATACTCACTGGTTATGCTTTCTGTTTCACCAAGTTAAGAAATCTCAAGTTACTTGCTTCTTTAAGGAGCCTCAAAAGAATCCAATTGCAGCATGTTTCTATTCCGTCCCTTTGCGACTTGAAGAATGTGACCAAGTTGTCATTTTACATTTGTCAAGTAAAGAAGGCTTTTGAGGATAGTTCCATCGAATTCTCATCAGCATTGCCAAAACTGGAAGACTTGAACATCGAGTATTGCAATGATTTGGTTGCGTTGCCTTCTGGGCTCTGCTTTGTTGTCAACCTGAAGAAACTTGGCATCATTAGTTGCCACAAATTTATTGGACTACCCCAAGTTGAGAATCTGGAATTACTGCAGATTAGTTACTGTGCTGACTTTGAAAATTTGCCAGAGTCAATCACGCAGCTGAGTCATCTAAGAATTCTAGGCATCTCACACTGCGTAATTAAGCTTGAGGAGAATACCAGACAAAATTGGGGAGCTGCAGAATCTGAGAAAGCTTTATATGACAGGTTGCTCAATACATGAATTGCCAGACTCGGCCATGAAATTGGAGCATTTAGAGAAGGTGATATGCGATGACTGTACATCTCATTATGGGAAGTGATCAGTTCGGGGCTACCTAACCTCAAGGCAAACATTGCCCAGACAAACATTACCTTGAATTGGCCTTCGGGCTGTCCTTTAATTAAAATCACAAACAAATTGCTCCATTGGTTTTGCTTGTTTCTTTTCATCTTTTGTCGTTTGAATCAATCATTTTTTGCTGTAAACTTGCACAATCCTGTTATGTCACTTAGACAGATGTTTGTGTTTGATGTCCACTAAAATATGTTTAAAACAAATTATCATGCAATTACATCATGTTTATGAGTTTCACTTTTTCTCTCAATTTATTTTTATTTTTTAATAATTTTATACAAATTTTATAATCATGAAATGATGGCATTTAATCTAAAAGATTCAATCATTTAAAGTCGTAAACTTGGATTACAGACACGTAAAAGTTCGTTATTGATTTTGCTTGTTTCTTTTCATTTTTAATTTTGTGTTGTTTGAATGAATCATTTTCTACCATAAATTTTGTACAACCGCGTATGTCACCTGAAAACTTTGAGACGGATGTTTGGAATTGATGTCCACTAGAATAATATTTTGCCTTATTTATAAATCACTCCCATTATTTTTTGTAAGAATCAAGAAATTCTAAATCTCATTATTTATGTTTAAAAAATTAATAAGTTTTTGACTTTGTTCCTATTAAATATACATACCTTGAAAATCAAATACTTTGGCATTTAATAACCTTTCCAATATTCAATAAGGGCAAAAAAGTAAATATGAATATAATAATTATTGAGATATTATATAAATAGGACCAAAACAAATGCTCTCTCAATCTTATAAATAGGATTAAAGGAGAAAGTAATAATTTTAGTATTGATACAGACATGAATTAATTATTGTGACGCTAAAATAAGCACTAATTGTTAATTAAAAAAATTAATTAATTAAGTATTCCAATTTATTTATCATCCTTGATCCTGTCAATTTTATCAGTCAAATGAATAATTAAACATTGACATAGAATAGCAAAATGTACCACCAAACAGCTGTGGTACATTTGTTGCGACCATTTGGTTGTGCGTGGGATGTTAGTCCATCACGTGGCTCTCGTCGATCAGCCTCAATCTCGCACATTTCTAGTAGGTGCGTCCTCGGATTGGTGAATTCTCAAAACCACGACCACTTTGGATGATACTCCATATAATATATTTAAGAGATGACATAAAATAATATTCATGGATTAATGATTTTGAGTAATTGTGGTACAACCTCACTTGTCTGAAAGCTTCACTAATTAAAAAGGAAATCACGTTCGAGACCTAATCTCGCTGTTTGATTAAAATATTTTCTTGAAGTCAAATAATTTGTTCCAAGTTTGTCCTATTAATTGACCTAAACAGTGCACGGCTTCAGTCATCATTTTCTGTTTCAATTGCCAGCTCGGATTTCAACACTACCATATAATTGGTTTATGATTTAATTCCATGTTCTTTTCTGTCATCATAACAGCGAACTTTCCCGGAAGACCAATATTTTCATTGCTGCTAACTTTTAGGGTCTCTGGGTCGGAGTAGGTGGAATTGGAATATTAATATGTATCAAAAGATTGAAAAAGACACCAGACTTTGAACCATTCTTGAGTCATTTAATTTTAATATACCCTCAAATAAAACTCATTCACTTTCTGATCACTATTAGCCACAATTCTTGTTTATGAAAATATTACCGTCTCTATTCTCTATTAATCGATGCAAAATATTATCCGAGCTTTGTAGGCCAAAAATAATGCTATATTGATTAGGACTAATAATCAGGGAAATAAAAATATTTATTCTCTTTGTAATGATCTTCACCACGAACTTATAAATGACAGCATAAAGACTGGTTGGTCTCAAATCTTTCAAGATCTCAAAGTGATCCTTTTTAGAAATCACCACGATTAGAGTGCTATTAATAAACACGATATCATAGGGACTCCTAAACAGATGTTTTACCATGCGAATAACAGACTGCCCAATGTGTTCCCATTGGCTTCGAAATAATAAGGCATTCAATCCGTTTGGCCCAAGGGCTTTAAGAGCGCCGATATCAAACAAAACTTCTTTGATCTCCAAATCCATCACTGCCTGACCAAACTTTCTCAGGGTGCCTACCTCACTACTAGGATAAGTTCGGGAGCAGATTAAATCGTCTCAGGTAACGATGTCCTCGTGAAATAAGGAAGAGAAGAAATTAGTTGCCATGGATTTAATAGAATCAAGATCATACACCCCATTCTCCATTATCATTCTTAGTGGCCTCCACACGGTTACGTTTACATCTCCCATTTGCAACCCTGTGGTAGGAAGAAGTATTTTTATCACCCTGGAGATTCCAATCTTTTTTGGCTTTTTGAGCCCAGAACAAACACTCTTGAAGCACAATCTTCTCAAGTTTGATCCAAAGCTCCTGTTATAACACTTCTAACGTATTATTCAAAGGGCAATTTGCACCTATCTACTTTGAATCATCATTTTATATTAACTATATCCAATTGAACCGTGAGAAATAAGATATAATATTCATGAGTTACGGATTATAATGCTTGTAAGAATGTTTATATTTTATCTTTATTCAACTGGATTTGACAAAAAAAGGAAAACTTGTCGCAGCTTGTTGACATACAGTCATAAAGTTAGCATGGGCTTGGAAAGAGTTTAATCATTACTTTTGAAATTATGCATGGTTAAAGTGTAAATTTACCTTTCAATTTTTTTTTTAACGACGTATTGGTTACCTTGGAGAGCAAGGTGATACAATATCACCCTTTAAATCTAAGAGATAGATCTGGAGTAATGTTGTCCATCTGTCAAACTTGCATTATTTTGATCATTATGATGAACAAGAAAATTATAAATAAGATTTCTAAAAATTATAAATAAATTCTCATGTGATAAAATTAATATTGATTAAGTTTCCAGAATTATAAATAAATGTTAAGAGATCGTCTGCATTTTCATACATATAAAAGGTCAAAATTTTATTTTAACCAAACATTTTAACTAATTTGATTGGTTATATTTATCGACTGATCATTGGATCACTATCATTAATCATTAAGTAATAGCAAGGTCAGGAATTAATTTAAAAAAATATTATTTTTATGTCAATAATAGTTTGTTTGTAAATTTTTGGAGGAGCAATTGTACATTTATGAGCAAGACTTGTAAATTATAGTCCTAATTTAATTTACAACTCAACTAGCATAAAAAATATATTTACAATTATAAATCCTAAATACACTAGTTGATTTGCAAATTTTTGAATGAGAATTTATAAATTTTGATAGAAAATTTGTAAATTAGCATACTATTTTAATTTATAATTCAAATTAATATGCCAAAAGTATCTCCAAGGTACTATAAGGTCGCAATCTATCTATCTATGTATAAAAGTAAAACCACAAGTCGTCTTTCAAGCTCAACATGTGTCCTTTTTTTTTTTTTAAATGCTGCAAATACAAACTACCACCCCAACTTCATTTAATTCTATTAACTTATTTTTGTAATTTTAATTTTCTATTTTAAAAACTAATTTATTTTAATTAATTTTTTTCTCATTCCTCTCTCATTATCTCTCTCACTCTCTTTGCATTTTAACTCCCCATAATCTTATTCTTATTATTAAACATTTAATTTTAAAAACTAATAGATCATGGCAGGATAAAAATAAGAATGATAAATAATATATTATTTATTATGATAAATTATATAATAATATTTTAAATTAAGTAAATCTACATATCTATATGCAAAACTAAAATCGTAGGTTGCCTTCTAGATTCGACATGTATGCATTCTTTAAAATTTTGTGATTATAAGTTATCCATGTCAACATTAACTTTTAAAAATAATTTTTTGTACATAATACCAAAAAAATTTTTATGAATGATAATAATATTATCTTTAAATTATAGAAACCACTTCCTTTTATCCCTAAATTTTTCTCCCCATAATTTTATCCATTATCATAACTTTTCAACTTCTCCACCATCTAAAATATACAATTTCAGCATGCATGTTAGATTTTCTATCAAATCTTCTTAAATATTAAAAAATAGTATATTTAAAATTAAATAAGTTATTTTAATTCCTATTTTCTCTCATTTCTCTCCCACTCTCCTATCTTCATAACTTCCCATAATTTTTTTCTTATTTTTAGTTTTAAAATTCTAATTACACACATACACAATCACATTGAGCAATTACAAAGCATACGAGATTTTCTTTCAATCCTTGTATCATTCAATTGCTCCATTCCCTCATCAAGGCAAGTAAAATCACAAAACTCTCATTCTCTCTAGCTCCTCCTTTCATCACCAATGCCCTCTCACCCCTTGTATTATCTTTTATGATGATTTTTCATTCCTAGTCAATAGCACGATGAGGTTGTTATGTTCTTGTAGACATCAAAAGAGCAATTTAATTTTTGATAGATCTCATATTCATGGTAGATACTAGCTAATTGCACATAATCATGCATTTTGTAATTTTTTTCAACTGAATTTTCCTCCGTCATTCTAAATCTCTCTTTCATAACCAATAGAATTGAAAAAACTAACTGTGCTCTATTTTTGTGAAGTTATGGTTTCATAGAATTTAAATTTTAATTTTTAAAATATTTATTGTAAATCATATAATGATTTGTTAATTATTTTACAACTCTACAGGTATATTAAAATTGAATGAAGACGAATATATACATTGACATGGTTCTTCACATCAACACAAAATAATTTTTCTTCCACTCTTCATATATCTTGGCTATTGGGCATCTCTTTATAAATTTTTTTTTTTGAAAAGCATACTCATAATATTTTACTCACAGTGATCCAAATTTCTTAATTTCAAATGATATTTTAATGATCTATATTTAATTTTCATTTTTATTTGAATTATAAATGTCAAATGAATTAATCAAATTTTAAATTTTAAAATTATATATAATTTGTATTTGAAAATAATGACTTAACCATCAAATTTATATTTTGATCTTGATGATATTTTATATTGTAATATCTCAGCTACAAGATTTGAAAATCTTGATGTTTGAGTTGAAAATTAAATTTTCAATATATATTAATATGTTTATTTAGTGATATTATAAATCATAAAAATTATAATACTTCAAAAAATTTTCTTCCCTCACACGATTTAATAGAAAAATGGAGCCATGTAATTTTTATGTTTACCTTATAATTTTAATTTTTCATG